TTTTCTGCTTCTCTTCTACTTTCCTTCACTAAGACCAGTTTGTAACATTTCTAAGAAAATTCACTGTAGTCTTCCTTTCTAATGAGGAATGTATACGAGGTTATTTATTTAGATGATATAAATACAACACTTTCACCTGTTTTAAAATACAATTCATGTTATGAGTGGCAGACAGTACATCTCAACCGTGCATTCAAATCACCTCATTGGTGATTTTCATACGTATTTCTTATTTTGCCTTCCTTAAATAATGAAATCTTTCAAGCTTTTCGTTTTCTTATTTTTTCCCGTTTGAATCTTATGCTATTTGTGACTGTGTGATTATTGCAAAGTAGAATTCAAAGTGACATAAATCTTGGACAACAGATTAGCATGTTAATTATTAAACTGAAATCTTTATGAAATTTAAAATTTTAACTTTTAAAGGCATAGACAGCTCTGGCGTTTAAAAAATACCTTTGGAAAGCTGTTAGGCAGTTTCTAATAAAGTTAAACATAAACCTACTCTGTGACCCAGCATTTTTTTATTGTTATTTTTTTTTCCTCATCTAAAACTAAAAGACTTATTAAAGAATGTTCAAGGTAGCTTTATACATAATAGCTCCAAACTAGAAACCACCCAAATGTTCCATCAACAGCAAAATACAAATCGTGGTATTTCATTCGGTAGAATACTGTTTAGTGATTTTTTTTTTTTTTTTTTGAGATGAAGTCTCGCTGTGTCGCCCAGGCTGGAGTGTAGTGGTGCAATCTTAGCTCACTGCAAGCTCCGCCTCCCAGATTCACGCCATTCTCCTGCCTCAGCCTCCCGAGTAGCTGAGACTACAGGCACCCGCCACCACACCTGGCTAATTTTTTGTATTTTTTAGTAGAGATGGGGTTTCACTGTGTTAGCCAGGATGGTCTCGATCTCCTGACCTTGTGATCCACCTGCCTCGGCCTCCCAAAGTGCTGGGATTATAGGCATGAGCCACCGCACCCGGCCTGTTTAGTGATTTAAAAAGCTTAAAATACTAATATATGCAAACAAAATTATGTTGAGTGAAAGAAGCAAGATGGAAAGTGGTACATGTTTAGATATGAAGAAGAGGCAAACGAATCTGTAATGCCTGAAGTCAGAATGGGTAACCTGGGAAGGTGGATATTGACTTGGAAAGAGGCTGAAGGCACCTTCTGGGTGATGGAAATGTTCATATCTTGATCTGACAGTAGTCGTAAGTGTTTACATATGTACTAATTCATTGAGCTATATGCTTAAGATTTGTGCATTTTACTTAGCCTGCAGTAAAATTCTGTAAGAAAGAAAGAAAAAGAAAGAACAGAGAGTCTCTTTATGCTTGACTTCCATTTGCCGTTAAGTATGTATATTAAATTAGGGATTTGGACTAATTGGACTTAATATTCATTAGGTTAACTTTGCTATTCTTCTTTCTTCCTCCTCGGCTGTCTTCTTTCTTGCTTTATTTTTCCCTTTTTCCTCTTCTTAACCTTGATTTTATTACTGATATTATACTCTTCAGTGCTTTCACATTAATTCTTTAGAAATGAGATAGGCAATGTGTTGGCTCTTGATAGGTTGCTTATAATCTGGATGCCAATTTTACATTTGTGTCAGTCTCTGCCTCCCCTTGGCTGGTACTTTATGCCACCCCAGTTTCTTTGGTGCAATAAGTGGACCCATTTTTGTATGTAATGAATGGGATCTTAAATGTGTGGTACAAAGGCATGATTCAAATGAAATATTACAGAATTTACAGTGAATTTCACTTCCTGTAAAAGCTTTATATTCGTCTGCATGATTTGTTAGAACATATATACATATGTTTTACTAAATATGCTTTTGGTACTTAAAATATTTTGACATAATTTTACATTTTTAAAAAAATTATGGCATTTTTCAAATTTTACACAAGTAAAGAGAATAAGATAGTGAATGTCCCTAGGACCCCTCACCAGCTTCAGCAATTATCAACTCACTGCGGCTGGCCAGTCTTGTTTCTCTTCTGTCTCTCCCTGGATTACTTTGAAGCAAATCTCAGATATATTACTTCATCTGTAAATGTATCTTTAAAGATACATACTGAATTTTAAGATAACTCTTAAAAAACTAATCCCAATATCAAGCAAACAAAACAGTAACTCCTTAACAATAAAAAATATCTAGAGTTCAGATTGACTCATTAAAATTAAAAAATTTTATGACTTTTTCAATGTTGACTCATTAAATTGACTTTTATTTAAATAAAATAAAATATTTTGACTCTTTATTGACTCATTAAAATTGAGTTTTATTCTTATTGACTCATTAAAATTAAAAAAAATATGTTTTTAGAGACAGACAGGTCTCGCTCAGTCACTCAGGCTAGAGTTCAGTGTTATGATCATAGTTCACTATAACCTCCAACTCCTAGTCTCAGGTGATCTCCTTGCCCCCTTCCCCTAACGCAGCCTCCCAAAGTGCTGGGATTATAGGCATGAGCCAGCACCTCTGACCTCGCTTTTTTCATAATTCATTTACTTAAATAAAGATTAAAATGAGGATTATTTATTACATTTGTTTGATAATATCTGTTTAGTATTTTTTAAGATATAGAATCCTTTTTCATCTTTATTTTTCTACATCAATTATTTTTTTAAGAAACCAGGTCACTAGTCCTTTAAAATTTCTATGGTTTTGCTGATGGTATACTTGTGGTGGTATACGGCCTATTTGCCTATGCCCTGTATTTCTTGTAAATGGATAACCTAGAGGCTATATAGATTCAGGTTTGAAGTTTTTGGTAATTGTTTTATAGGTAGTTTTGTCTACTTCCTATTGTACTACATCAGAAGGCATTTAATTTCTTGTTTTTATTTTGTGATTTTTAAGTAGATCAGTAGGTCCAGTTATCCTAATCTGGTTCATCCATTATCATGTTTCCCATAAAGTTCCCTAGTTGGTCTAATGGTTGTAGAAGCCTGCCGATGCTCATTGCTGAGAAGATCCATTATTTTATCAGTAGTTGCCAGATGGGAGGGTCATTTTTTCTGCATTTATTAGCTGCAATCCTTCTAGCGAACAGATGAAGAACTTTTCCCTCATTATCTGTTTTCTCTGAGTTTGATTATTCTGTAAATTCAAGGTAAGTATTTAGTTCTTTCCCTTTATTTGTCAGTATCTTGCTTGGGAAGCAGCCATTTCTTCAAGAATTTTTTTTTTTTTTTTAAATTGAGAAATGATAATTATAAAACAAACTGGATTCTGGCCATCCTCATTGTTTAATGGATTGTTTATGGCTTTTAGGCCTCTTAAGTGGATATTTAGGCTAAGAAATACCTAGTACTTTTTTTTTTCTTAAGAGAAAATACATCATGAATTCATTCTGATATTTTCAGTTAGGATTTAAGACTACAGGGTTTTATGTAATGTATTTGATTTTGTATTTGTGTCTCTTTATACTAAAAAATATTTGTTTCTGACATTAATTCTTTAATCTATTTTATGTGTGTGTGTGTGTGTGTATATATATATATATATATATAAATAAATAAAATAATTTTATAATAGCAATTGCACTGAGACAGGGACACCAGTATTACTAACAGCATGATTACTGAAAACAGTTTATGATTTAATTGCAGGGTTTAAAAAAATCTTTAGAATATATGGTTATTTGACTGTATTTTAAAGTTATTTGAAATAACTATTTTTTGTATGATTAGGGCCACCAATCTGATTCACTATTAGGTTTTAATTGCTTTGTTTTCTTTTTAGAGATTACGTTGTCTCCATTTCTATTTAATTTTGTTTGACTTAAGTAAAAGCATATTACTTATTACTAACAATGTGATTACTGAAAACAGTTTAAGATTTTTTTTTCTCTTTAGGATTTCATGGCTATTTTACAGTGTTTAAAGTCTTTTGAAATAATTCTCTCTGTGGTTAAGTCACTGTAGATAGATTTAGTTTCAGTTTTCTTTCGATCTTAGAGATTGCTCCCCCACCCCTTTTGGATGAAATTTTGATTTCTATAATTATGCAAAAATATCCATGTTTTCCAAATAAAGTCTATGAAACAGTGTACATTCAGAGATACACAGCTTCCATTCCTAAGTAACTTTTTTTTTTCTCTTTTAGTTTTGGGTTTATTCTTTAAAACAAGTAAGCAAATACGTATTTATATTTTCATTTTCACCTTTCTTAGACAAAAGATAATGTAAAGCACACACTCTTTGGTACCTTGCTTTTTTTCATTTAATATTATACCCTACACTGTTAAGGTATAACCTCTAAGGTATATTAAGTTAAAAAAAAAAAAAAAAAAGGCAAGATTGTAGTAGTCTTTCTCCTTTATAGCTGTTCAGTGTTTTATGCTATGGACGTGTTTATAACTGTTGCTGCATTGATGGTTGTTTAGGTTGTTTTCAGTCTTTTGCTTTTATCGATAATGCTGCTTGTATGTAACTTTAATATTTGCTAGGAATACATTCGATGACATTTTCGTTTCAGGAAACATTGCTTATATTTACTCTGTTTTGTTGGTTATAGAAAAAATTCAAAAAACTCTTTTCGTTAGATAAGTCCAAGAACCACTGATGGCTTTATTGCCAATGCTTATTTAATTACCAAAGTATAAATAAAAATATTCAAAGATGATGTTTTTAATGATTAAATACATGCAAACTTTCTGGGGTAAGTAATGGTGAAGTTCAGTACTTTAAAAAATATTCAAGGTTAGCAATCTAAGAATCTTCTTTTTACTGTGTTTTAATAGTAATGATTGCACACTCAATTTTGTTGTCATTAATGTACAGAAAACATTGCAAAATCCCAAGATTTTATTAGAAGCAATATTCTTGGTTTTTTACTTTGTTTATGCAGTTCCTTAGAAAATCATACACGTGGTCCATCCGTTCGTACCTTCTTCCATGGTAATTAAGCGTAGTATAAATATAACTTGCATGTTTTATTGTGAAGATATTTCACTTGTGTGCCTTTAATTTTTTTTTTTTTTAAACAGGCAGTATAACTCCAACTGTGGAACTGAATGGGCTTGCTATGAAAAGGGGAGAGCCTGCCATCTACAGGCCATTAGATCCAAAGCCATTCCCAAATTATAGAGCTAATTACAACTTTCGGGGCATGTACAATCAGAGGTTTGTATGTCTTTTTTGGTTTTGTTCTTAATTATTATGCATGTTGTAAAAGTTTCTCAAACTCAAAAGAATATTTTCATTGTAAATCTAATTGACCTTGGGCATTTTGCATGGAATTTAGATAAAGCAGGTTCACAAGGAATATTTAAAGTAATAACTTTAAAAAAACCCAGTTTTCAGGAACTAGGTTTTTTTTTTTTTCCCTACCCCTACAAACGTAAAATATCTGAAGGAACTAGTTTTTATTGTGTCATGAGGGCCCTGTTTGTTGCAGGGAAGACCAAGTCTTAAAGTCATTTCACAGTTTATAGTGTTGACTTCCCAGTTGACTTTCTCATTCATTTACCAAGCAGAGCTCAGTTTTTTTCTTGATTTGTCTAAATACATGAATGAACATGAATGTTTGTAATTTATAGGGAAAAAAGAAAAAAGGTAAATAATGTAATCCCAGAATTTGCTACCTTTTATATTTTCATGTACTTTACATTCTTTTTTCTTTGCATTTAAATATATTTAACTAAGTTGAAGTTGTCTTTTATATGCAATTTTTGTAGTACTTTATGAAGGTGTGATAGACATACAGTAAAATGTACAAATCTTAAGTATACCTCTTGATGACTTTATTTTATTTATGTATATATGTATTTATACTTTGATGACTTTTTACATACATATATCCTCATGTGATCACCACTCAGATCAAGAGACAGAATGTTCCCATCACCTCTGAGAGTTTCCTCAGACCTCTTTGTCCTTGGCACACCCTTCTCCCAGAAATAATCACTATTTTATTATCATCGACTAGTTTTTGCCTGTTGATGAACTTTTTATAACTAGTCTTATACAGTATTTATGTGCGTCTGGCTTCTTTTACTTTGTATAATGATTTTCTTGTTTTGGGATTCATCTGTGTCGCTTATATCTGGGTTTTGCCCTTTTTTATTGCTGGATAGTGTACTTTGTATGGATATATCATAATATGTGTATCTTGTATATGTAATACAGTGCTCTCTTTTCACTTAATATAGTGGCCATTTGTCAAATATTTAAGAATTTTTTTCTTTTTTCTTTTTTTTCTTTTTGAGACAGAGTCTCACTCTGTCACCCAGGCTGGAGTACAGTGGTGTGATCTTGGCTCACTGCACCCTCTGCCTCCCTGGTTCAAGTGATTCTTGTGTGTCAGCCTCCCAAGCCGCTGGTATTACAGGCGCATGCCACCATGCCTGGCTGATTTTTGTATTTTAGTAGATATGGGGTTTCACTATGTTGGCCAGGCTGGTCTTGAACTTCTGACCTCAAGTGATCTGTCTGCCTCGGGCTTCCAAAGTGCTGGGATTACAGGTGTTAGCCCCTGTGCCTGGCATAAAATATTTTTGATGGCTACATAAAACTTCATATGGCTTCATAAGTTATATAAATGTATGCCTATTTTTTTATCTAGGTTGTTCATGGGCCCCCCCCCCCACTTTTTTTTTGTGTATGTGTGAGATGGAGTCTTGCTCTGTCGCCCAGGCTGGAGTGCAGTGGCGCAATCTTGGCTCACTGCAAGCTCTGCCTCCCAGGTTTACGCCATTCTCCTGCCTCAGCCTCCTGAGTAGCTGGGACTACAGGCACCCGCCACCACGCCTGGCTAATTTTTTGTATTTTTAGTAGAGACGGGGTTTCACCATGTTAACCAGGATGGTCTTGATCTCCTGACCTCATGATCCTCCCACCTCAGCCTCCCAAAGTGCTGGGATTACAGGCGTGAGCCACCACGCCTGGCCTCATGCCCCCTTTTTTGTTAAGATTGCTGCAGTAAATAATCATTATGTAAATCTTTGTTCACGTCACTGATTATTTCCTTCCTTATATTACTATAAGGGGAATATTCTTTAAAAAGAATAAAGCATTGCCCAATTGCACTAAAGTTCGTACTAATTTCTTACAGTATGTGAGAATGCTTATTCTATTCTGACAACACTGAGTTAAAAAGGTTTTTGTCTTCTTTGATAGTTAAAAAGTAGTTTTTGTTTGTTTGTTTGTTTTTTGAGATGAAGTCTCACTCTGTCACCCAGGCTGGAGTGCCACGGCCCGGTCTCAGCTCACTGCAACCTCCGCCTCCTGGGTTTAAGCGATTTCTGGCTAATTTTTGTATTTTTAGTAGAAACGGGGTTTTACCATGTTAGCAAGGCTGATCTCAAACTCCTGACCTCAAGTAATCGTCTCTTTTGGCCTCTCAAAGTGTTAGGATTGTAGGCATGAGACACCGCACCCGGCCATCAAGTAGTAGTTTTTAAAATTCAATTTTATTGATTACTAGTGAGGCTGAACAGTTTTTTTTTAGATATTTGTTAGTTATTTATCCTTTTTGATTTGTCTATTTTAATTGCTAATTTTTATTCCATTGCTTCACCAGCTTTCAAATGTTTATGTATTGAGGATGTTAACCTTCAGTCTATTTTATTTGTTGTAATTTTCCTACTTTAAAAAATTTGGCTTTTAATTGTGTATTTGTTTTTAATATCCTATAGTTTTAAAATTTTATGTGGTCTAATCTATTGTTTTTTCTTTATTTCTCTCACTTCTTTTATGCCTAAGAAATTCTTTCCTACATTTGATCAGATATTTGCTGATGCTTTTGTTATGGTTTTGTGTATTTACTGATATAACGTAGGTATGTAGAGAAAATATTTATTGAGTCCATAAATAATCTGATACTTTTTGGTTTCTTGCTTGCTAGGGGAAAAATTAGCTTTAATTGTATCCGTTTAAAACTTAGTCCTACTCAATTGTAAATAGTTCCTTTAAATATTGTTTAGGTTATCTAAGAAGAATTTGCACACTGTATTGGACTTCTGCCCTTCCCTTTTCCTCTCAGGTATGCCTGGGGGAGCTTTCTGTATACTAGGAAGTAAGAGGCACCTGTATACCTCACCTCTGTAGAGGCATCTTGTGTTGTCCTTTAGTTCCTCTCTTCTTTGTGGTCATGTCCTTTGTCCACCAGGCATGGAAACTTGCAGTTGGTGGTGTCTAGTGCGTTTTTTCTCCCTCAGGTAATGCTTCCAGAGTGTATCTACCATCTTCTCCTTGCTAACTGGCCTAAACCCCCAGCTTTTCTTGGCTTCTTTGGTATATTTCATTCTCTCCTGTAACATCTCTGCTTCTAATTGTGATGCATCCAATGGCAGGCTTCCCAGCCCTCAGCTCGGTGTCCATACCATATAGGAGGCACAAAGGACCACACATTTCTCTTGTAGTTGTTTTATTTTCTCTTTCTCTGTATAATATACCCATTGCCTTTATGTTCAGTCTGAGGTTCCCCAATGTAAATAAATAATGCTAGTTGCCCACTTCAGCACAATAGATATCTTTAGTCACCTGAGTAAGGAACACTTCGGCTATTGTATACTTATTTTATTGCTAATGTAGTCTAGTAAATAGATTTATGAGAGTATTACATCTTTATATTTGTTGTATTTGATATCTGTGGTCCTTTGTTGAAATTTTGCTACAGTTCTGACTAGTGAATTTATTACTTTTAAGTGGAAATAAACTACTTTTATTACTTCTAAATCTATTACTTTTAAAAAGTCTGGTGCTAAAGCAATGAAAAGTCAGACACTAATCCCTGTCCTTATGGAGCTCATGTTCTTGTAGGGGAGGTAGTCAGTCAATAAGAAGTGGTTAGTCACTGAGAAGGTTGCTTTTGATAAAGACCTCAAAGGAAGAGAGAGAGAAAGCAGTGTGAATTCTGAGAGAGAGAGAGAGAAAGGGAAAGTATTCCAGGCTCAAGAAATAGCAAGTAAAAAGCCCCTGCAGTAGGAGTATGCCTGGCATGACCTCAAGAGGCTAGTGTGGCTTGATCAGAGTGAACCAAGGGAGAGAGGAGTTAGTATGTGAAATTAGACAGGGATCATGTGGTTTTGATTTTCTTTTTTTCTTTTCTAGATTTTCTGTTAAGAATGTTGGCATTTTTTCTTTGTTGGCAGTTTCTAGTTCCAAGATCTGATTCTTATGGTTGTCTGAGGGGTACAGTAATTTTATTTATGACTTCTCCAAAGTAATAAATAACGGGCGTGCCTTAGGCCATTCCATGAATAGATAATGTGGACTTTCCCTTCAATTTTTTGGAGTGTCTTTATGATTTTCTGCAGATCACAAAAAAGGGTAAAAAGAATATCAGAAAGTACTAGTAAGCTACCAAGCCATGTTTCAACTGAAAAGCTCTTTCTGTTCACAAAAGTGCAGACCTAACCGTTACCCAGTAGGCTGTTAAACCATGATTTCTCATATGACCTTAATTTATAGATGACAACACTTGATTGGATTACGGGGACTCTGGAGCCAAAGATCCAAGGAGACGCTCTTCTCCTTGTCAGAACCCAGATTAATCATTAGCTTCTTAAGGCAGGGAATGAAAGGTGAAGTCCAAGAAACAGGTATCATTTAGAGGGATTTTTGAAAAGGTCCTTTTATTTTCTACTTAAAGTAACATTAAGCAAAATTAGGTATTACCTATGCTGTTTTTCCCCGTCTTCTTCACTGATGCGGTTTCTCCACTTGAACTCATTCAAAGGCCTAAGAAGAACTGAATTTTTCTTTTTTTAATGACGAGTGGAAAAAAAGCATTTATCCATGAGCAAACTCTGTAGATACAACTTGGATTCTGAAGTACCTGTCTCCTTTTATTATGCCCAAGATGTTTTACAATAATTACAGCCGGTTATGTATTTTTCTTTATCATTTGAGGTACTTTTCACTAACAGATATATTATAAAGCAGAAAACATATCAAAATTCATTTGACAAAGACAAGGTAAAGTTTGGAGAACACTTTGTGCTTTTGTTCTCCCATCTTTCTTATAACATTTATGTACAGTAGAGAAATAGAATGGCTGAAATTAGACAATTTTTCAATTTTGTATATTCACAGATGAAAAAAGTATTATTGCTTGGCAAATAACCAGAATGACAGACCAGCAGGTCAAATGGCCCCTTGATCTGCTGGTGCAGATTTCC